GACCAAGTATTGAGTGCATAAATTAATATAGGCCTACTTCAAAGAACTTGAACTTTTCTGTTTTGTAAATCCTTTTTTTGATTGATCTTAAGAAATAATCTAACATTTTGAGATACTGAATTTTTGACTTTCATGAGCTGTAAGCTCTAATCATCCAAATTAAAACAAAAAACTTTTGAAATGTTTTACTTTACATGTAATGAATCTAGAATATATGAAAGTTTCACTCTGAAATAAGTTACAAAAAAATAACTTTTTCACGATATTCAAATTTTTTGAGGTGCACCTGTATGTATATATATATATATATAGTTGTATCAAACAGACCTACAGGACAAAGAAAATAAGGATTACAAAACTGAAGAATCTCTCACCTCACATTTGTGTATGATGGAGCTATACGCTCTGGACTCACTTCTCTCGGCCACAAGTGCGGACTTCTTCCCATCTGAACCCGATGTTTCTTCATCCTGTGTCTCCATCTGCTCTTCTGCTTCTTCCTCTTCCTCTGTTTCTCCTTCATCCTCCTCTTCTAACATGTTCTCCACGCTCTCAGCTTTTGACATACCTTCCTCAACGTCATCAACTTTTAGCAAAAAATGTTAAGTTATGAAAACCTAAACATAAAAATGTGAGGTAAATGTACACCATAGTTATATACGACAGAAATTACCTTCTGAGGATGTGTGAACAGCTGCATATTTTGACTTGCTTCTCCTTGTGCTAACATACGACCGTTTAGCTGCCGCCCTCTGAGAGACTTCTGTAGGAGCGGAAAAGTGTCACACAAGTTTTAAAAGATGGTTAACATTAACAAAAGCATTAAGAGTAAGGAATGGACACTAACTAGGAGTGTAGTCAGCATCAGAAGGATCATCTTCGTATTGTGGAATCTCTTTTGTGGCTCTTTCTTCCTCTGTTTCAGTCTTAGAATCCACAACACCAGCCTTTTTTTGTCTCGTTTTGGATGGCCCACTAATTTTGCTGACAGCTCTCAAAGTCTTTGTGCTTTGCTTCTCAGTCGTGTCACTTGCAGCCTCCTGGGTTTCTGTTGTATCTGACTGTACAGGAGCTTCCTTCTCTTCAGAAACTGCATTCTGAGTCACTGAATGACTCTCCTGCTCCTCCTGGGAACTCAAATCCTCCGGTTTTCTCACAGATCGCAGCTGTTCCTCCACCGGCTCAGTCACTACTACTTTACATGAACACAAATGAGAAATGGTGGTGTGAAAGGCCTGTAACTTCAGTACCGTCTTGAACTAACGGCTTATGAAAAAAATGCAAACTCAACACTAACCAGGCTTAGATGATGCAGGGACAGTCAAGGACTGAAAAGCTGAACAAGCATTGACAATTTCCTGCATCTGAAGGAAAGTAGCTACAACAAGAACATCCTCTATGTTCTGAGGGTTTAAAGTCAGCTTTGCAGTGTACATAAACTCAAGGACCAGCTCAAGACCTGAAAGAAAAATTAACCTATTAAACAAAGGCAGAAAACAACAAACAATAGAAATGTTAACATGTAATTACATAGCATAGACGATCAAAGGGATAGTTCTCCCAAAAATAACTGTTTCCTTGCCCCCATGTCGTTTCAAAGCATAACATAATATATTTTAACAAATGTTTCAGTGTTTTGGTTCCCAATGTTCTTCAAATATTTTCTTTTGTGCTCCGCAAAAGAAAGAAATGCATTTGAAATGACATGAGGGTTAGTAAATGGTGACAGACTAACCCTTTAATCAAAGTTATCTGTAAGAATGCAAGCCTACCTGCAGCATTGCTGATATCAAGATGAACAACATCTTTCTGGTCCAAAAAGAGTGTGCGGAAGTAAGCACTACATGCTGCCAGCACAGCCTTGTGGGCCTTGAAGTCTACTCCATCCACCACAAAAGTGCAGTCACAAAGAAGACCCAACTGACGTTGTTCGTTAAGCTGCCCAAGAACCTTCCCACTATGCCAAGGAAAGTCCATAACTGATGGAGTGGACTACAGTGCTTTAGGCAACAGTATCCTGACCATAAAAAGAAAAGAAGAAAAAAAAATCACTGTTGTTGCTATTCCTTTTGAGGCTCACAAATCAAAATGTCCCAGTTTGCAAACAAACTGGGATAAACCAGGGCCTTCGTCTGGTCAACACTGTTCTGAGTCCACTCATATAATTAATTTTAGTTACAATTTTAGTAATACAATTGTATGTTTTTGACATTTGTATTAAATTTTTTTATGTGTCTATATATATATATATATATATATATATATATATATAGTTTTAATATTTTA